AAAAGGTGCTGTAACTCTATCATTAAGACTGACACTAAACGTTTTTGTCATTTCTAAACTACACATCTTTGCAAACCTGGTTTTTATTGTTCAAATATTTTTTGTTTCATTCAATTATTCGGTCACTAAAAGAGTTGTTTAACATTTCTACACAATTTTCACTTCACTCAATATAGTTAACGTTCTTTAGTGTAAATATTCCCGAGGTTGGTAGTGTCATGTGGAGATTATCTGATGATGTCAAGGTACAAATAGCTTTTAGTTTATTATTAGTGATTGTTGATTTCAGGTGGATATATCCAAAGTACCGGGTTTTCGAGTTGGACTCGAATTGCAAGCGCTTTCGAAGTTACATCACGAAAATATTGTTGAATTCTATGAGGAGTTTCGGGAAAATGGCGCACAGTTTATTGTAATGGAATATTGTAAATATGGTTCATTAAGAGATTATGTGAAGAAAAATGGAAGATTGTCGGATCAGTGTGGTGAGTTGGCTGTGTTTGGTTTATTGTGACGTCTTCAATTGCTTGGAAATAGTTTTCGGGTTTTACATCTGTTAGTTAGCAGTGCAATTTTTATTCGATTCTGAACTTGGCTTGTCACAAATTGAGTCTTCTTCGGGCACGAATCATTCATTATCATGATATTCATTTTCAATGATTTCAGCAGCATTCATATTACGTCAATTGGTGAATGCCGTAAAGCACATTCACTCGAGTGGAATGATGCATCGAGATTTATCATCTGGCAACGTGCTCATATCCTACATGCATAATACAAAATTCCGTGTGGTATTCTCTTTTTCTGTTGATTGATTCATACGATCGTAAATTAAANTTCATCTGTGAGTTATATACAACTCAGAATCAATTGATGTTCGTATGTTTCGATGATTGTTTGCACTGACCTTAAATATTTCTTTCACGAGAATTTCTTGGAATGCTGGAGTCGGATTTGGAATATTTCAGAAACTGGCCGATTTTGGTCTAGCAACACTTTTGCGTCAAGGTGATGTTACTGGTACGATCGTTGGTACGCCTGGATACATAGCTCCGTAAGTTGTGAACTAATATTTTACCATCTATTCAACTCGTTCGGATGCACTTTGTTTCAGAACACCAATCTCCATTAATGGCATTGGAATTGATAATTTTTTCTTTTTATTATCGATTGCATTGTTTTCGAATAATTGATTACAGTCAAGTGTACGGCCGAAGTTATAATCAAAAAGCGGATGTGTTTTCGTTGGGTGGAATTGTGTATTTGATGTTGATGGGGAAGGATCCTCCTCGCGAGCCGAACGTTGAACACTTGAATCTGGACGGTTGTTCTGAAGAGGGCGCTGAATTGATTCGGCAAATGATGCATCCCGACGAAACGAAACGAATCACTTTGCAAGGTTTTGCATTCATCTGTTATATTGTTAGGAATAGATTTCTGCAGTTGGTGAATTGTTTTGTAATGTGTGTGAAGTGATTGTGTGATGGCATACGAAAATGTTGTAATTTATTGTTGGATGCAGATATTCGAATGAGTGCATTCTCACGTATCGCTGATCAATTTGATGTTAGCGGTGGGAATTCGTTCCGAGATGGATCGCGTGAGCAGATACGTCGTAGTTCACGAGAGGTTTGGCATTGGCTGAAATTCATTTCGTTCCCCTGAAGAAATAGATTGGTTGTAGTCGAGCGTTCTGATAATATTTCATGAATTTCACGAGCACAGTACAGTGTGTATCAAATTTACAGTGATTATTTCAAATTGATTGCATCGATGCAGTAAAGGTTATGTATCGTTTGTTGAGTATATCATAAAGTGATATCTAATTATTGCATAAAAGCAATACGACACTCGCATGCTTTCAATAGATTCATTGCAGTACTATCAGCTGAGTTATGCACAACCAGTTCGTGTAAGAGCGCAGTCTGCACAACCTCGTATGACATCGAATACGACCCGAATGAATAAAGAATCTGGCTTTGAGAGTGGTGGTACCGACTTTAATAATGTTGGTTCTCTTTTTATCACATTCATTGTTTTTCAATCTTTCCAATGCTTATCGCACTTAATTTCTCAAGTTATCTTTTCATTTTGCAAAATTATGTTTTCATTAATTTTCATTTTGATTCATATTTTTGACAACTTCATTCATATCTGCGAGTGATCAATTCTGTAACATTATCCTTGAATGCATACGAGTACAGATTCGCCGACCATCCTCGGAGAATATCTGTCGACACAGTTTATACGACGGAAGTGTGTGTCGTAGATGTGGTATGCGACGTTCCATAGAGAGGCCGTTGGAACGAAGAATTTTGAGTAATTACGGGTGGGTGTTGATTTATTTGAAGATTCGACTGGTTTTGTCATTGCTGAATTGAGATAGTGATACTTCTTGTGAAGATAGGTTATTTGAAGGTTGGAATGATGTGAGAGTGCAGTTTAATGAAATGAGTGCAGTTTTATTGTTGTTGTGATTAAAGGGTTGTCGCTGCTGGTGCGAATCGTGAAGGACGAGGCTCACAGAGAAGCGGACGTTGTGCAGAAAGACGCCAAATGGAATCGAGACGTGATACTATCAGAACAACAATGGGGAGTGGTGTGAGTACGACAAATGCTGCATTGAAGACATGGCCGTTAGATATTTCGCGGCTGGCACCCAATAAATTGATCATTGGTGCGGGACGGGTTTGTTCTTGTTTATTGTTATTCTAATAAGATTGATTTTCATTCAATGAACACTTCTAGTGCCTGTGTCAAGTGCAATCAGATATAGTCGTATAGAGGTATTTAATATTCTGCAATAAATGCAGAATATTAAATAGCTGAATACGATTGTATCTGGCAATGAGTAGAAATTTTCAGTAATATTTCTGTTTTCCTTAAATGTTCTTTGCTTCTCGTCAAATGTTTTATGACGAAAATGATTGTTATTTGATTAGAAGTGAATCAGTGAGGTTATTTGCTAATCATTCTCATAGGACGTTTTTTTTAGTTTTTCTTCAATGTTGATGGTACGATAGTGTACGAAGTGGCTGGTAGACATCGTTCGATGAGTCGGGATAACACTCATCGTGCTAAAAATGTGGGTGGAAGTATAGATCACTGGGTTGTGGCCGTTGTTGTTGTCAACACAAAAGCGACTGATTCTCGGTCGTATCAGCAAGTGTCTGTGAACAGTTGTCATAATGATAGGATACCGTTCCCGCATCCGAATGATCCGCCCATACACCTTGATCAGTTTTATGCGAGAACTTATACAAGGTTAGTGGATGTTTTTTTTCTGTTGGTTATTCTTTGAAGAAATCATAACATTGAACAAAACTCTTTGATGATTGATGATGGAAGGAGCGATGTCAAAATGGAGAACGATGCATTATATTTTCGAAATGTTTAAGAAACTGATGATGAATTCAATCGAGTTCATCATCAATAATTTGATTTTTGTACTGGTTTATCATTCGTTTCGGTTTACAATGCTTTTGGAGAACAATTTTTGAAATTTAGTTTCGAAGAGCTCAAATTGGACACATCTCATCTGCGATTCTATCGTCAAATCGTGGAAGCAATGAGACGATTGGGTGGTCGAGTTGAAAAGATTGTTTTCAAGCCATCAGCAAACTGTACGGCAAGACTGATGGAGAACGGTGATTTTAGGATGAAATTCAGCGACGGTTCGTTTTTGACGCGTTTCATCATCTATTTTTCTAATTGTTTTTCTCGTTTGGTTTTTCACCTTCCTGTCACCGTTTGTGTTCGTTTGTAATTCGCACCGAGTATATGGCCGAGAGAAAATTTTGGAAAACATTTCAAAAGCGACATTTTGAATTTGAACTTGTATCGTACGATGATAAAGAAGACCGTCACCTACAGAAAAAATCCCTTCATCTCATCAAACTGATATTTTTTGAAAGTGATTAGTAGATGAAAAATGCGAATTTATTCTGGTTTTGCATTTCATTAACATGTAATTTATGTCAGGTCGCTTAGCAGTGCAAAAGCAAGGCAATGGGTCAGTGTCGGTGTCGAGTGATGCCTCATCGAAGGCAATACTTTCGACAGGTAAATTNCAGTGCAAAAGCAAGGCAATGGGTCAGTGTCGGTGTCGAGTGATGCCTCATCGAAGGCAATACTTTCGACAGGTAAATTCAGTGATGGCTACGTTTTGATGTTTCATGTTGTTCTGTAGTGCTCGTTGCATAGTAAAGTTGTTGTGTGAAATAAGTTTCAAAATGTCTTCTTCATTACAGATGAGATGAACAGATTCAATGAATCGCGGTCAGATGCGCTTGAAATGGAACGAATCCTTGAGAAGGGCATTTTTTTGAACTTCAAGCCGTTCCCGTTTCATTTCTCCAACACTAGGTATTTCTTTATTTCATCCTAATTGATCAATCATTTCAACTGAACATTATCAATTTTGTATTCATCATTTTATTGTCGAATTCGTGACTGTGATAAATTCGCATTGAAATTCATTCAAGTGAAATTCTGATGGAAGTTTCAGTAAAGGATTTCTTACTTCATTTTTTGTGGACGTTTGGATTTTTTCTTTGTATTTTAAGTTTATTCACAACGAGTGTTAATACGAGTGTGCCTAACAACCAACGGTTCGTGTCTAAAGAAGATGAACGACGAGATGACCAAGGTGCTTCTGAGAGGCGACTGGCTGCATCATCGGTCACCAGAAACTGTCCATCTCATGAAGGAAACGATCACTCGGGCAGAAAGCCA